ACATCTGAATAGTTAATTTAGCACTTCTTAAAAAAAGGAAGCGTTATTGAGTTTTGTGAATTGACTACCTCTAAACAGCAACTATATAACAAGCGATATCAATGAAATAACGGCCGAAATGAAGAAAATAAGCTTTGTGAATTGACCCCATTGTGTCATATGTTACAGCAGTAAGCAGTGAAGTTACAGCAGCTGGCGGTGAGCTGTGGTATTATTTTTATGTGCGAGTTCATGCTAACAGAGGTCTGAACAAGGGTGTTTAAGCACCCTAATTGGCATTACCACTGAAGTTAAACTAGTTTTGAATATAATGAAGAGGGATTATTTGTCCTGGTGACCATTATCACAGAGAGTGAAGGTGAAAGAAAATCCCACATTTTGAGTTGTGACCATAACAGTAATAGAGGTGAAATCATCCAATTGGGACACTAGTTCTGGTGACCATAGTGACAACCAGGGATTTCCCCCACTTTGGAGGAACATCCACTCACTTCCTGTTGTAACTATGGGACAGAAAGGGAAATCTCCCCAATGGACAACACAAAGGCCAACAACAACAAAAATGGGGTTTTAACCCTCCCCTACTCCAAAATGAGTAATAAAAATGTTTTGGCTTCATTTCCACTTTAATGAAATCCTGTGGCAAGATACACAAAATTCAAATTCACAGCACCTGCTCTCAAAGACTTCAGACTGCCAGCAACTACAAAATATGTAAATTACCTAAAAGTATGTTCTTGCACTGTGCTGACTGTATAAAGTGGCTTTCTAAGTCAATAAAATACAGTGCCTGCATTTTTATCACTTTATTGTGCAGTTGACAAGCCATGCATTGAAAATAACTAGTGATAATGGGGCTGAATATGTAATTTATTTGACTCGATTAACTCTAGGATTAAGGATTAACTCTAGAACTAGGATTTTGAAAAATCTCATGTAATTTTTTTTTTCAGTCATGCATTCACTCCCATTTTTTAAAAGTATGTACATACTTTAAGAGGATGTAAGCCCTAAAAATGGACGCTTATTTGTTCCCTTTTGGTCTGTTAAAACTTTCACTGAAAGTTTTTTTTATATCTGATTACCGTTAGTTTAAAAAATCCTGTGCTCTATGTCTCTGCTGCTGACCATTATCAATTGCATTGCTCTCAGCTACATTTGAGGACTAAAGAACCACGCTCCTCTATCTTATAGAGAATAGGAGAGGGGCAGAGTTCCATAGCTATCAGCCTATAGGACTGGAAGTGTGTTACTGGCAGAGTCACCAGATATTAAAAAAAAAAAAGGAAAAGAGGTTAAAAAAAATGAAAACCAATGCAGTCAGCACCTCTAAGGACTGGTAAGCAGCAATCTATTATATGTTTCTTTTTGGATTTAGATACAATTTAATTTCAGGTGTCTTCTGGACTGTCTAGTGCCATCCCAGGTCCTTCCTCGTCTCCTCCAATGACAGGAGGGCTACCGCGCTAAAGGGGGCTCAGCTAATGATGTGTAAGCATCATTCAGTGCTGCAGTACTGTTGAGATGATAACCCACGCCGAGTGAGTATGTTGTTGACAGTCTACATTAAAAGGAAGGGCAGTGGAGGAGGATATCGAGGCTAGCACTGAAGTGTGAAACATTGGCGAATTGGGAAGGTTAAAGAATACAAAAAACAGAGTGCTTACATTTTAGTGACGTGCAGAGCCTGTTTTCTTTCAGCACTCTGGGCTCAACATGCAGCCTTTGCTCAATGTGTGACCAGTTGTATTCCAAGACCCTGTGCTTCAGCCCTGTGGTCCCAGTGGCTCCATCAGGCTGTAGTGCTGGAAGTGCCAGCCACAGTCCAGCACTAAGCTCATGATCTGAATAGATCAGCTTGTGATCCTCCTACAGAGCTCTCAGTAACATCACTCCATAACATCACAGTGCATACAGCAATGACCTTGCTCTGTCCAGGCATGGGATCATACACATCTGCACCATTTACCGGTCTCTCTATAGGACATGGTGCTGCTGTTTATAATCTCATGCCAAGGTACAACACAATACAAGTAGATAGAACAAGTTTTATCTAATTGCATTGCACCTAAATAATCCATCAACTGAGTCTAAGAAGCGTGCATATAAGCACATTCAATCAGGCAGCTTAGGTTCCTGAATTAACAAACTACACAAACAGTACTATAATGAGAATATGGACTTGGTGTTGTACTGATGTTGTACTACCTGTCTGTGCCCACTGCCAGCATTCTCGACATGACAAATAAAAGACCAGAACTGAGATGAGGTGCCAGGCACTCTGAAATAGTAATGGAATCTCCTAACAGCAGCTGTGCCACATTAGAGCACAATTATCCTTCTTTACCTTTGACTAATAACAGCTCTGCGCAGCTAGGCTAAAAAAAGACATCCTCTTCAAAATGAATACTGATATTGACTGTAAAAAGGTGATGAATAATTCTTGTAAACTATTACGAACGGTACAAGAAAAGTGGATTCGCCTGGTGGCCAAATAATCAGGTACATTAGGTTGTTTTAGTGAGCCCTGTATGAAGATAGACATCTGGCCAGGTGATGAGCAACCAGGAGAATAAACCCTGTCAACTGCATCTGGCTACATAGGAGCCCACACCCCATGTGACGCACACATGTTGGCACCATCTAGATTTGTCAGATATGCCCATGGGTGTATGATGTCAAATAGTTTAACCACTTTGAGTATCCAAATCTTGCAGTTGTATCTTTACAGGTAGATGTCATTGGGTAACCCAATCTTGCAGTTGTATCTTTACAGGTAGATAAGATGACATTGAGTAACGCAGTCTTGCTGTTGTATCTTTAGAGGTAGATGACACTTGGTAACCCAGTCTTGCGGTTGTATCTTTACAGGTAGATGACACGAGGTAACCCAGTCTTGCAGTTGTATGTTTATAGGTAGATGACACTTGGTAACCCAGTCTTGCAGTTGTATCTTTATAGGTAGATGACACTTGGTAATGCAGTTGTATGTTTACAGGTAGATGACACTAGGTAACCCAGTCTTGCATTTGTATGTTTATAGGTAGATGACACATGAGGATTTGGAGGAAATGTCTACTTCTTGTATTTGGCTTTGCCATCACTAGTTTTAAAATCTCTGGACAGCACCTCCACACAAGAAACATGTAGCTTGTAAAGCTTATTTACACATACAGTATAAGCTAAAAACAAAAAATCCCTGGGGTCAATGGAACTTTGAAGTTTTTTGCTGATAATCACTAAAACTATAATCATGCAGTGTTTTGGATGTCCCTTATTAGCATCAATGAAAGCCATTCTTAGGGAACACCCTTCTCCATGATGGCCATGCCCCTGGAAAATGTGGACCCCGCTAGAGCTGTTGTTTTCCAGGATAAAAGTGTAAATGATCCCTTTGAAGAAACACCTTTTAGTTGTTTTTTTTGTATTCAGTACCCTATCTTCAATTTGTTAATAGCAGTGGCAAAAATATCAGAGATATGCAGAGTAGAAAGTTCATGTACCTTATCAGTACTCTACAGTAATCAGTTTACAGCCTATAAAACTATAAACCATTTCATTTTTTATCTTTTCATCTTTAACTGTCTTGCTTAAAGCTTAATAACCCGAGTGATCCCAGATAAATTATATGTCAAAAGTAAACCTATGCTGGAAAGCTGGTTAGCCATACAAAGACAGATTTCTTACAAAGAATGACAGGAGGTGACAGATCTGTCACACCCAGAGAACCTGAAGTCAGTTTGCTTCCCAGTTTCAACATGTAGTAGTATTTCATTTACAAGCAATGGAAGGCTTGTTTCTTTTTAACACCCTAAAATTGAACAGAAGCCAAAACTTTTTTTTGGATGTGGATAGCATAAGCGAGGATAATAACTCCTGTCAGATTATTATTTGTCATCTGTGTCCCATTGGGGAGATATCCCTTCATCTGCCATTCAGTGGCAGGAGTGTAGTATGCCTAGCCTGCTTGTTTACATACAGCAGCCAGCCAGTGATCTGTGGTTTTACAGTGGGAGTGCAACGCGTCAGAATCATCGGTCAGTGGGTCAAGATCATCAAGTGGCGGTTCATGATTACGCTTAAATCCTTCCTTCCTTCCTGCCTATCTCAGCCCTATACATCTTAAATGCTGTGCACACCTGTGTACATATTTTACAGTAATAGCATAAATTACAAACACATATTACAAAATCAGTATTGACTGCAAATACCTATACTATCAAATAAAATAAATTAAAATGTTTTGCTAAAACAATTCAAAAGATTAACATTAAGTTTCTTAGGTTTTATTGTATCCATCTTAAAAACCAATTCAGTTTCTTTCCTGGAAACTTTCGATTTCAGATTGCACCCTCTTCAATTGTACTTAGCTAGGGGTTCATAACCCAGAATTATAAACAAGCTTCCTGCTCATTCTGTCTGTCATTTGCCTGTGTAGTTGTGCTGCAATCTTGTGGCATGGCCGTTATGCCATTATGTTTGGCTGCAATCTGTTTTAGACCAATAAAGTATAGCCCTCATCACCTTTTGTGAGGTGGCTATTAGAAATGTATTGATTGTCGGGGCTGTAGTCAGCCTGGCTGGAATATAGTTGGCATTTATCTGGTTAATTCCAGGTGTCTGGCATTGACTGTACCTACCTGGATCGAGTGTGACTCTACTGTAGTGTGGACCAGCCAATGAGGGGCTGTCAGTGTATGTACAATTCACCAGCCAGTCACTGGGTTTCTCTCAACCATTGTTACATGCTGGGATAGGGTACATATACTGGAAGGAATTGCCATGTGCTTTGTTGAGCTAGGGACCAGCCATGGATTAGTCCAGGACTGTGTGCTGTCCAGTCTGGACAACCCCCATGCTACGCCAAGGCCAGGGGGTGGGCAAATGCTGGAGTGCTGGAAGTGTTTCCCTGGGCCTCAAGTATGGAGGAGGCCTGTGCTGATGCTAGAGAGAGAGAGAGATGAAGAAGAAAGTAGGAGACTAAATCAGAACTCACTTACCAAGCCCAAGACAAGATACACGTAATCCAGATTTCCCCAGATTCCTGTTGGAAGGAGAAGATGAAACATATTTGAGTATAAAAAATATATACATATATCAGGTGTCATAACATGTAATATACAAATGTTGTGCCACACCAACATGTACCTTCACTTCAGTGCTCCATGGACAGGAGCAATGAGAAATACCGGGTACTTCCAGAATGAGAGGCATGTGACTCCCTTCCTTTCCTTTGTGACATCACTGGTGGTTGGTAATTGGCCACTCAAGCACACACCACCATTACATGGGGGCAGGGAGGGAGTTCTCAGCCCTGTGTAAGCTCCGACTTGAAATTTTGAGCTTATGTGGAGCTTCTTCTTGATGGCCAAATTAAGTGGTTAGGTTAGGCAGAGAAGGTAAGGTAAGCACAAGCAGCAGAAGGAGGCCACATGTAAAGTGGATCTGTTGCTTTACCCTGCATGGCCAAAACATGGGATCACTTTAAGGCCTCATTCACACAGGAATCGGCCGGCACGAACAGATCCATGCTGAGTGCAGGGCTGTTCCAAGCAGCTCCCGGGAAGGACAGGTGATGTGTGTGATTAGTACGCAGCCCCCGTCCTTCTCTATGGGACTACGCACCCATACGCCCCCCTACGCTCACCTCAAGTCGAGGTCCGTAGGGGTGCATGTTTCCTGGCTCGGACGCAGACAGGATCCATCCTGTCAGCGTACGAGTTCGCTCACCCGCACGGACGTGCAGGGCGGGTGAGTGTAGGGGGCGTACGGCCGGGTAGTCCCATAGAGAAGGACGGGGCTGCGTAGTAATCACACGCAGTACCTGTCCTTCCCGGGAGCTGCCCGATACGGCCCCGCACGCAGCACGGAGCTGTACGCGCCGTCCGATTCCTGTGTGAATGAGGGCTTAGGGAAAACCCCACAAAATCCGTAGAACCCACCTAAAAGGGAACCATGTTCTTTTATTGTTTCTAAACAGAAGGTTTACAGCATCTTCCAACGTCCTGGTGTTGTTGTGTTTGGCAACAAAAACACATGTAGACTAAAAAGTGTGCCAGCATCTCCCCAACCAAAACCCTGTTCCCAACCTATAACTCCGCCAATGTTCCTCCAACGTACCAATTCTCCTCTTTAGGAAATGTTAAAGTTGATGTAAACAATGTTAATGTCATTTCAAAAGTCATTTTCCATATCATTGAAATATGAATACATGTATGTAGACCTCCTTTCAAATCACTGAGTTCAGGAGTCTCCAGTGAAGGTTCTGCTAATTACCAAAGATATTTTAGACAATTGTAAGCTTCCAGCCTTGTGGTAGGTGAAGGCCGTCTTCTGTTCCAGCATGACTGTCCCCTGTGTATATAGCCAGCTCCATAAAGACATGGTTTGAATGGTTTGGTGTGAAGGAACCCAAGTGTCCTGCACCGAGTCCTGACCTCAACCCTACTGAACACCTTGGGGATGAATTGGAATGCTGATTGCAAGCCAGGTCTTCTCCTCCAACACCACTACCTGACCTCACAAATAATCTTTAGGTTCAATGAACACAAATTACCACAGACACAAGTCTCACGGAAAACCTTCACAGAAGAGTGTAGGCCTTTATAGCCGCAAATGGGGGGGGGGAGGGGGATTCCATATTAAGAGCCATAGTTTTGAAATGAGATATCCAAAAAACCTTTGGTTATATAGTTTACGTCCTGTTATAACGTGACACCATTGTGTCCTTGTCTCCCAATTGCTCCCGTCTGTTGTCACCTTGTCACACGGGCTTCCAATAGATACGAAAAGTAGCCATTTCAAGATACATTGCACAGGCAGGGCCCACTGTTATCCACTTTCATGGAACCTGCCCTGAGAAATGCCATGTAGCCGGGTGCATATAGACAGAAAATGGGTGCAAAAAGGTCACAAAAGATCTGCAGCACCAAGATGCAATGTTCAAAAAATATGGAAACAAGTATTTTTTTTTTTAATAGCATCTGTTTATGGTACACAGTGCCTTAGCAAACTTAATATTACTCAGTTAAGATGTATATCTACTTTCAGCCCATATAGATAGATAGATAGATAGATAGATAGATAGATAGATAGATAGATAGATATATCTACATAGTTACATAGTTACAAATACTATGTAACTATACAGGTGAAACTCGAATAATTAGAATATCGTGCAAAAGTAATTGCAGTAAGTGCTGCAAAAGGGGCCCAAACCAAGTACTGAGTACATATGCATGCTTGTACTTTTCAGAGGTCCGATATTGTTCTATGTACAATCCTTGTTTTATTGATTGCATTATTATTATCTGTGCTTTCATATTGTATTCACTCTTAAAAATGGAGTGACAGACTGCCCCATTAACATAGTACATCCAGCAGCAAATCATCCGCCTGACCCCACAGTCCCTGGCCCTGATTTTTATAGGTGCCGGCAGCGTAACCAATGATAATATTCCTGTCATATCGATGAACCTGTTTATGATGAATTTCCCTCATAAGCTGGCACGGATCTACCAAGGTCTCTCTCGGAGTGTACGGATCACAATGTTCCGCGTCTTGTTGATGATACATAAATGATATGGAATCGTTACACGTCTAGACTGGGGGAGACGAGAACCAGACAACATCCGCATAAAATGTGCAGAAGAATGCAGAAAAGTTCAGTGGACTAATAACTCCTCATATCTCTCCAATAGAAGATTTGGGGATTCGTCAAATCATCAGAAAGAAAATTAAAGTTGAAGTTTAATCTGATTATATTTTGTCTCCCCCCCTCCCTCCCGGCATCAACGTGCTAATAAAAATGTATATAACACCTTTCTGTTATATTATATATCTTATTTATTATTCCTGCTCATGTGAATGAGTCTCTAGTGAATGGACGGGCCGTGTTCTCATGAATATGAAGTGTCGGTGATGTCACTGGTCTCTAGTGAATGGACGGGCTGCGTTCTCATGAATATGAAGTGTCGGTGATGTCACTGGTCTCTAGTGAATGGACGGGCTGTGTTCTCATGAAAATGAAGTGTCGGTGATGTCACTGGTCTCTAGTGAATGGACGAGCTGTGTTCTCATGAATATGAAGTGTCGGTGATGTCACTGGTCTCTAGTGAATGGAGGGGCTGTGCTCTCATGAATATGAAGTGTCGGTGATGTCACTGGTCTCTAGTGAATGGACAGGCTGTGTTCTCATGAATATGAAGTGTCGGTGATGTCACTGGTCTCTAGTGAATGGACGGGCTGTGTTCTCATGAAAATGAAGTGTCGGTGATGTCACTGGTCTCTAGTGAATGGACGGGCTGTGTTCTCATGAATATGAAGTGTCGGTGATGTCACTGGTCTCTAGTGAATGGACGGGCTGTGTTCTCATGAATATGAAGTGTCGGTGATGTCACTGGTCTCTAGTGAATGGACGGGCTGCGTTCTCATGAATATGAGGTCTCGGTGATGTCACTGGTTTATTCATTTTAATGGATGACTGGCATTGCTATATAGTGCGCCGTCTTATTATATGAATGTGGAAGCATTAAATGATATTGACTGGTTCCTCTTTAACGTGATACATGTTTATTAGTTTTCCTGAACTGAATCTGACCCATCAAATATTCATCAGCTGCATTTAAGTCTTCAGTTTATTCAGCCAAGCCAAGAGATTTGTTATGTGTACCGGATCACAGAGCCATGAGTCCTGCATTCCGTCCTATTGTTCAGGGTCTCATAACTGTAAAAGGTTGAGGAACGCGGCTCTGCTCCCAGCACAGGAATTCCTGTGTCATCATCATCTTAGTGTACTTCATCCCATATAATTGGTTGGAGTCTTTCCATTGTTACTCTTTGCGTTCCTTTATAACCTTCTATGAATAAACATTTAACATCCCAAACAATAGAAAATTAATTAGCCTGCTCCCAAAATCGCTTTATGCAGAACCGATCCTTTCATTGAACTAGTGAAGGAACACTGCACACCCCTTAAAAAACCACTGTATGGTGCACAGCAGGTTCACTCTACCTCCTCAGACCCCCACCAGCCCTCACTGTCCTCTGGACACTTCCAAATAAGAGATTGTGTATTGTAAGTCACAATCAGTCCACAATAAGACTCCCAAGATGGGATGACCGGTCCAGTCACTTACTAACCAAGTTAGAAGGGTTGGCAGGTGACCTCCACATATCTGGACCATAGGTGGGAGGGGACCAGCGCTCCAATATGGAAGTGGACTGGTAAGGATCCCTTTAACAGTTGTGAAAAGTATGTTTATTGCCTGTAGTAGAGGGTTGGTAATACGAACTGTGAGGCGGAGCACAAGTTTAGGTTTATTGGATCTCAAAGAGTGAAAATTAGCAGATTATCCATTATACCTCAGCTCTCCGATATATCTCTACAACATCTCAGGTGACCTTCAGCAGATCTATATCTAAGCGGTATACTAGTAATATGTCAGGCATGTTTCAGAACATAATCTCAGGTGTATCTCAGCACTATCTCAGGTGTATCTCAGCACTATCTCAGGTGTATCTCAGCACTATCTCAGGTGTATCTCAGCACTATCTCATGTGTATCTCAGTACTATCTCAGGTGTATCTCACCACTATCCCAGGTATATCTCAGTACTATCTCAGGTGTATCTCAGCACTATCCCAGGTGTATCTAATCACTATCCCAGGTGTATCTCAGTACTATCTCAGGTATATCTCACCACTATCTCAGGTGTATCTCAGGTATATCTCAGCACTATCCCAGGTATATCTCATCACTATCTCAGGTGTATCTCAGGTGTATCTCAGCAATATCTCAGGTGTATCTCAGCACTATCCCAGGTATATCTCATCACTTTCTCAGGTGTATCTCAGGTGTATCTCAGTACTATCTCAGGTGTATCTCAGCACTATCTCAGGTGTATTTCAGCACTATCCCAGGTATATCTCATCACTATCTCAGGTGTATCTCAGGTGTATCTCAGCAATATCTCAGGTGTATCTCAGCACTATCCCAGGTATATCTCAGCACTATCCCAGGTGTATCTCAGCACTATCTCAGGTGTATCTCAGCACTATCTCAGGTGTATCTCAGCACTATCTCAGGTATATGTAAGCACTATCTCAGGTATATGTCAGTACTATCTTAGGTATATCATAGATATATCTCAACACTATCTCAGGTATATCTCAATACTGTCTCAGGTATACCTCAACACTATCTCAGGTTTATCTCAGTACTACCAAAGACATATCTCTGCACTATCTTAACTATATCTCAGCACTATATCAGGTATATCTTAGCTATATCTCAGGTATATGCCAGTTGTGTCCCAGCACTATCTCAGGTGTATCTCAGGTATGTCTCAGGTGTATCTCAGTTGTGTCCCAGCACAATCTCAGGTGTATCATAGCAGAATTGTATTAGACATCTTAGCATTGACACCAAGTTATGAGTATCTCTTTCACAATATCAGGTATATCTCAGTACTATCACAGGTATATCACAGCACAATCTTAGGTACAGCTTAGCACTATCTCAGGTATATCCCGGCAATCTCTTAAGTGTTTATCAGTTTTATTGTAGCAGAATCTCAGGTATTTCTTAGCAGTATGTCATTGTATATCTTGACAAAGTCTCGAGGTATCTCATTGCGATCTTGGGTATCCTGTATCTCTGCACTCTTGTGTACTGTAGAAAATCTCAGGGATATATCAATATGATCTTTGGGGTATTGTTAGTATATTTCTGCATTAGTTTAGAGTTTGGTTTAGTGTCCAAAAGTTGTTATTTTATCAATTTAAACCACTTTGGTATAATATAAGTAGACATTGTGTATTTTGCACCAAAAGGAGTTTCCTGCGTAGTTGCAAGGTACAAAACATGCTGCAAACAGTTTATAGCCAATCATAAATGTAAATTCTTCACTCGGTAGCACAGCTGAAGCAGTTACATTCAAGTATAGAAAACATACACAGAACAAGTCCAATGTCATTTACTGTACTATGCTCGCATATGACAGGAAAATGCATCAGCAGAGCTCTATGCCAATAGGGGAAAGTCACCTTCCCATAAAATGAGCCAAACCCCAGAAGTCTACTATATCCCAGGTGTATCTCAGCACTATCTCAGGTGTATCTCAGCACTATCTCAGGTGTATCTCAGGTGTATCTCAGGTGTATCTCAGCACTATCTCAGGTGTATTTCAGCACTATCTCAGGTATATCTCAGGTGTATCTCAGCACTATCTCAGGTGTATCTCAGCACTATCCCAGGTATATCTCAGCACAATCTCAGGTGTATCTCAGCACTATCTCAGGTGTATCTCAGTACTATCTCAGGTGTATCTCAGCACTATCTCAGGTGTATCTCATCACTATCTCAGGTGTATCTCAGCACTATCTCAGGTATATCTCAGCACTATCTCAGGTATATCTCAGCACTATCTCAGGTACTGTATATCTCAGCACTATCTCAGGTGTATATAAACCCCTATCTCGGGTATATCTCAGCATTATCTCATGTGTATCTCAACCCCTATCTCGGGTATATCTCAGTACTATCTCAGGTATATCTCAGCACTATCTCGGGTATATCTCAGTACTATCTCAGGTATATCTCAGCACTCTCTCAGGTATATCTCAGCACTATCTCAGTTGTATCTCAGTACTATCTCAGGTGTATCTCAGTACTATCTCAGGTGTATCTCAGCACTATCTCAGGTGTATCTCATCACTATCTCAGGTGTATCTCAGCACTATCTCAGGTATATCTCAGCACTATCTCAGGTATATCTCAGCACTATCTCAGGTACTGTATATCTCAGCACTATCTCAGGTGTATATAAACCCCTATCTCGGGTATATCTCAGCATTATCTCATGTGTATCTCAACCCCTATCTCGGGTATATCTCAGTACTATCTCAGGTATATCTCAGCACTATCTCGGGTATATCTCAGTACTATCTCAGGTATATCTCAGCACTCTCTCAGGTATATCTCAGCACTATCTCAGTTGTATCTCAGTACTATCTCAGGTGTATCTCAGTACTATCTCAGGTGTATCTCAGTACTATCTCAGGTGTATCTCAGCACTATCTCAGGTGTATTTCAGCACTATCTCAGGTATATGTAAGCACTATCTCAGGTATATGTCAGTACTATCTTAGGTATATCATAGATATATCTCAACACTATCTCAGGTATATCTCAATACTGTCTCAGGTATACCTCAACACTATCTCAGGTTTATCTCAGTACTACCAAAGACATATCTCTGCACTATCTTAACTATATCTCAGCACTATATCAGGTATATCTTAGCTATATCTCAGGTATATGCCAGTTGTGTCCCAGCACTATCTCAGGTGTATCTCAGGTATGTCTCAGGTGTATCTCAGTTGTGTCCCAGCACAATCTCAGGTGTATCATAGCAGAATTGTATTAGACATCTTAGCATTGACACCAAGTTATGAGTATCTCTTTCACAATATCAGGTATATCTCAGTACTATCACAGGTATATCACAGCACAATCTTAGGTACAGCTTAGCACTATCTCAGGTATATCCCGGCAATCTCTTAAGTGTTTATCAGTTTTATTGTAGCAGAATCTCAGGTATTTCTTAGCAGTATGTCATTGTATATCTTGACAAAGTCTCGAGGTATCTCATTGCGATCTTGGGTATCCTGTATCTCTGCACTCTTGTGTACTGTAGAAAATCTCAGGGATATATCAATATGATCTTTGGGGTATTGTTAGTATATTTCTGCATTAGTTTAGAGTTTGGTTTAGTGTCCAAAAGTTGTTATTTTATCAATTTAAACCACTTTGGTATAATATAAGTAGACATTGTGTATTTTGCACCAAAAGGAGTTTCCTGCGTAGTTGCAAGGTACAAAACATGCTGCAAACAGTTTATAGCCAATCATAAATGTAAATTCTTCACTCGGTAGCACAGCTGAAGCAGTTACATTCAAGTATAGAAAACATACACAGAACAAGTCCAATGTCATTTACTGTACTATGCTCGCATATGACAGGAAAATGCATCAGCAGAGCTCTATGCCAATAGGGGAAAGTCACCTTCCCATAAAATGAGCCAAACCCCAGAAGTCTACTAAATCGAAGTATTCTGTAGCCTCTTACCTGTACTTCATACCCGTAGCTTTGGCCGTAGACTCGCGTAGGATGTGCGATAGATGGGGGAGCACCTGGTTATGGTTTTTGGTCCCCAATGGGGGAGTGCGCTGCTTATTCTGCCCACCAATTCCCGCATTTTGCCCCCCAGAGGGACGATTGGGGCAAAGACGGTCCTCGCTGGTCCTACTTCTCAGAGTTTGCTCAGTGCAAGCAAATGAAACTTGCATATTGAGACAGGTAAGAGGGAAAGGTAGGATACCTTATCGGGGGAAAGGGGGTGTAGGTGTCCCACTGTTAAGAGGAGGAGTAGAAGAAGAAGGGGCAAGGGAAGGGTACCAGGAAGGGGGGAGAAAAGGACAAGGGACGGGGCAATGAGTATTGTCTAGGACAATGAGCCTCTCACAGCATGAGGATGTGTTTGGCGAAAGGAGATGAGAGGTATAGAGAGAATGAGACAGAGGGGGGGATGGAGAGAGGCTGAGGAGGAGGGGAGGGGGATGGGATAAGTAAGACAAAAAAAGTGAGGAGTCCAGAAGGATGTATAGAGGATGCCAGGATGATGCGTGGGTTAGGGAGAGATGCAAGTAGAGGTATTTAGAGAAGAATCCAAGGATTGGACTGGTGTAGGGGGGGTGGAGGATGCTTTTGCAGGACTTGCAGGGCTGAATGAAATAGGGAGAGGGCAGGCGGTGTGCAGTGTTGGGACAGCTCTGCAGTTATCAAGGGTACAGACTTCACACATCCCTCTCCCTCCCTGCTACTCCCTCTCATCCCCCCCTCTGCACCGATGCAGCTAAGAGGAGCCCCTCCTCCCGATTCACTCTCAACGCTGCAAACGGTGCATGCAGTTTATTTACGGATGGGCAGTGAGAGGCTAAGCTGCGCTGCCCTGGCAAGAGCAATGCTCTGCAGACGATGGGGGAGCCTGGCACTTTGCAGCAGAGGGAATAAAAAGGTGAGGTGCACAGCAGGTGCCTTTCCAGGAGGAGGGAGGCAGGCTGGAGGATGCTGTGCAGCTGCGTGTGGTTAAAGTGTATTGATGAGTGGAGCTCCGCAGACTGCAGGTGAGGGAGATGCTGAGGGAGATGTGCCAGGACTGGGAGGGGCTTAGACTGTTATCCTGCAGGTGCCAGGACAGGGAGGGGCTTAGACTGGTACCCTGCAGGTGCCAGGACTGGGAGGGGCTTAGACTGGTACTCTGCAGGTGCCAGGACTGGGAGGCTTAGACTGGTACTTTGCAGGTGCCAAGTGGCAAGTGCTTTGACTGTTGCTTTGCAGGTGCCAGGAGGGGATGGGCTTAGACTGGTACTCTGTAGGTGCGAGGGTGGGATGGGCTTAGACTAATACTCTGTAGGTGCCAGTTGAGGAGAGTTCAGGCTGGTACTGTGCAGGTGTCAGGTGGTGAAGGTCAGACCAGTACTCTGCAGGCCAGGTAGGGAGGTCAGAATGTTATTATGCAAGTGCAAGAACTGGAAGGGGCGTATTCTGGTGCGCTGCAGCTGCCAAGACTGGGAGGGGCTTAGACTGGTACTCTGCAGGTGTTAGGACTGGGAGGGGCTTAGACTGGTACCCTGCAGGTGCCAGGACTGGGAGGGGCTTAGACTGGTACTCTGCAGGTGCCAAGTAGCAAAGGGCTTTGACTGTTACTTTGTAGGTGTCAGGTGGGGAAGGGCTTAGATTGGTACTCTGTAGGTGCCAGTACTGGAAGAAGCTTATACTGGTACTCTGCAGGCGCTAGGTGTGAAGGGCTTAGACTGGTAGTCAGCAGGTGCCAGTACTGGGAAGAACTTAGACTGGTAGTAGACATGTGCGATTCGTTTCGTTACCAATCGAAATTCGTACGAATTTTCCTGAAATTCCGAATTTCGGAGCATCCGAAATCCGAATGGCAGTTTCCGAATTATATCCGAAATACGAAATTCCGTTAACGAATTTCGGATCCAAATTTCTTTGAAACAGGAACTAATATTACCCCTGAAAATGAGGTTGAACAACATGACAAGATTTTTTTTTAATCCGAAATACGGATCCGCTGCTGCTGAGGGTTGCATTACAATACACAGTTACACACACAGGCAGGAAATACGAAATTCCGTTGACGTATTTTCGTTCCGTTACGAACATTCATTATATTGAAGTTAAAAAGCAAAGTACATTTATATTGGAGTTGATGGTATTTTTTTTAAAAATCCGAAATCCGAAATTCGGATACGGAATCCGTTAACGGAATTCGTATTTTGTTTTGGTTGACCAATCAGAGGTTCTCTTCTGCTGCTGAGGGTTGCATTGCAATACAAGCAGGAAATACGAAATTCCGTTACGAACATTCGTTATATATTCAAGTTAAAAAGCAAAGTACATTTATATTGGAGTTGATGGTATTTTTTTTAAATACGAAATTCGGATACGGAATCCGATTACGGAATTCGTATTTCGAATAAAAAAACAACTACCACTCCAATATTAACAAAGGTATTTTGCTTTTTAGCTTCATCATAACGAATGTTCGTAAAGTTACAAAAATATAACCGCCACAGTTGGGAGAGGTTAGGCTGAACCTGTGCAGGTGTCAGGTGGGTAAAGGTCAGGCTGGTACACTGCCACTGCCAGGTTAGAAGAGGTCAGACAGATACTCTGCAAATGTCAGGTGGGAAGAGGTCAGACTTGTATACTGCAGGTGGCTTCTGGGAAATGTTCATACTAGTATTCTGCAGGGGTTAGGGTTGGAGAAGTCAGACTGTTATTCTGCAATGGTCAGGTGTGGAGAGGTCACACTAGTACTTGGCAGGTGTCAGGTGAGAACAGGTCAGACTGGTACTTGGCAGGTGTCAGGTGAGAACAGGTCAGACTGGTACTTGGCAGGTGTCAGGTGAGAACAGGTCAGACTGTTACTCGGCAGGTGTCAGTTGAGGAGAAATAAGTCGGCACTTATTGGCAGGTGTCAGGTGAGAACAGGTCAGACTGGTACTTGGCAGGTGTCAGGTGAGAACAGGTCAGACTGTTACTCGGCAGGTGTCAGTTGAGGAGAAATAAGTCGGCACTTTGCTGTGCCAGGTAGGGAGAGGTTTACATGGTACACTGTGGGGGAGAAGTTAGGAGAGATTATATAGCACACTGAAAGTTCCAGCTGGAGAAAAGTAAAGCTGATGGTCCCCTTGTTACAGTTGGGAGGCAGGTTACATTGGAACTCTGCTGGTACTGGGTGGGCTAGTCATTGCACTGATGTTCTCCAGGTGCCAGGTGAGGGAAGGGGGGCAGAGGAGAGAACGGAATAAGTGCATTGTTCCTTGGTTACAATAGAAATTCTACCATTCTGGTGCTCAGCAGGTGATGTGACAGAAATGCTAACACACTTATGTTCTGCAGCTTCTAGGCCAGAGAGAGGCAATGGAGCTTATCCAATTAAGGCAGCAAAAAAAGAAGAGAGGACACGACCAACAACACAATCATATTTCACCTTTCATTGTTAATACAATGAGAACACTGTAAAAGGGATTCCTATTGGTTGCTGTCAGATATTGTATGTTGCACAGACAAACAGCATTACAGGTTCCTAAAGAGAACAACGCTGCAGAATTCCAGAGCAAAATATAAACCGCAGGAAAGAAGCCATTCTTCAAATGTATAGACATGAAAAAGTACCTGAGAAGCTCCATATTCACGAGACAGCAGCCCGTCCATTCACTAGAGACCAGTGACATCACCAACACTTCATATACATGAGAACACAGCCCGTCCATTCACTAGAGACCAGTGACATCACCGACACTTCATACTCATGAGAACACATCCCGTCCCTTCACTAGAGACCAGTGACATCACCAACACTTCATATTCATGGGAACGCACCCCCGTCCATTCACTAGAGACCAGTGACATCACCGACACTTCATATTCATGAGAACACAGCCCGTCCATTCACTAGAGACCAGTGACATCACCAACACTTCATTTGCATGAGAACGCAGCCCGTCCATTCACTAGAGACCAGTGACATCACCGACACTTCATATTCATGAGAACGCAGCCCGTCCATTCACTAGAGACCAGTGACATCACCGACACTTCATATTCATGAGAACACAGCCTGTCCATTCACTAGAGACCAGTGACATCACCAACATTTCATATTCATGAGAACGCAGCCCGTCCATTCACTAGAGACCAGTGACATCACCGACACTTCATATTCATGAGAGCACAGCCCGTCCATTCACTAGAGACCAGTGACATCACCGACACTTCATATTCATGAGAGCACAGCCCGTCCATTCACTAGAGACCAGTGACATCACCGACACTTCATATTCATGAGAACACAGCCCGTCCATTCACTAGAGACCAGTGACATCACCGACACTTCATATTCAGGAGAACACAGCCCGTCCATTCACTAGAGACCAGTGACATCACTGACACTTCATTGCCTTCCATGCTTCTGTTTGTCCTTCTCAACCCTCTATCTCTGTCCCTCCCAGTCCCACCTCTCTCTCTCTGTCCCTCCCTGCTCATTATCTTTGTCTGTTCCTCCCTTCTCTCTCTCTCTGTCTCTCCCTGCTCACTTCCTCTGTCTGCCCCTTACTGCTATTTCTCTATCTGTCCAATCCAGCTTTCTCTCTTTCCATCCCTGCTCTCTCTCTTCATCCGTCCTTTCCTGCTCTTTCTCTGTCTGCCCCTCCCTGATCTTACTCTTTCTCTCCTTCCCTGCTCTCTACCTGGCTGTGCCTCCCTGCTTCTTCTCTGTCCCTCCCTGCTCACGCTCTCTCTCTGTCTGTCCCTCTATACTCTCTACCTGTCTGTCCCTCACAGCTCTTTCTCCTTCCCTCCCTGCTCACTATCTCTGTCTGTCCTTCCCTGATCTTTCTCTGTCTGCCTCTCCCAGTTCTCTCTGTCTACCCATTCATGTGCTCTCTCTCTCTGTCTACCTCTTCTCTCTCTCTCTCTCTCTCTCTCTCTCTCTCTCTCTCTCTCTCCCGGTCCCTCCCTGTGAGACGATAGGGAGTCTGAGACTGTGTGGAGGGAATGGGGGAGTCACATTGAACACAGTGTCCCCTTAATTTCTCCAAAACCTTGCCACTTAACATGAACAGATTTCATTCTTATGTCTGCGCTAGGCATTCATGGAAGGTAATACATTTGACAAAAGGAAACGACCAGCTTAAGACACATTGACACAAAGCAGGTCAGCTACAAAGGAATGCAACAGCATCATCGGCCTCCATTGAGCCAGAGTATCTCAGTGGTCCTGTTGTAAATCTATCATAA